CCGTCCATGTACAACTGTACTCACGTATTGCCGGGTAGAATGGAGTGAGGAGGTATTACAGTACTCCGTCCATGTACAACTGTACTCACGTATTGCCGGGTAGAATGGAGTGAGGAAGTATTACAGTACTCCGTCCATGTACAACTGTACTCACGTATTGCCGGGTAAAATGGAGTGAGGGGATCGCCGTCCGTGAGCTTGGCAGTACCCAGGGGCACGGCTGAGGGCGGCATCATGACGGTGTGAGGGTAGACGGCCTCGCTGCCCCGCGGCGCATAATCCGATGGGTCACTGAACAAAATCAGGCCCAGAGCTCCGCGCCGCTCTGCGAAATCTGCCTGAATAGTCGAATAAATAAAGAAGTTATAGTAATTATGCAAAAAAATACTAGTTACATTGAGAAAAGCACCTAATTATACCAATAATCTCATCAAATAGTCGAAAAAGTAAGTAGTTATAGTAATTATGCAAGAAAAAAGCACCCATTTACATTTACTAAAAACACATAGTTATACAAATATTCTCATCAAAAATTTATAATCTTTTTATCTGTATCGCTCGTTATTATTTGACAATAAAAAATGTCTGAAAATCAATGATGAATTTTGAAAATTTGTGAAAACTTTAGTAATCGCTCTGATCGCGTTACAACAACGGCAACAACGACTTTACGTTGACAGGATTAGACAGACAGACGTTATATTTGATATTTTATTCGAAAATTTTGTTCATGTGTTACCGCTTGAAATGATGCTAATTTCACTGAAAACCTCTCGTATCATTAGTCAGAGCAGTAAAAGCGAATTATTTTTCCACGGATGAACATTTATTGTTGTTTATGCTAATAGTATTTAAAGGTCTTACGGTTAAGGTCAGGAAGACAAATGGCTACCTCGCAACTGAAGCTTCATAACTGTCGTCTGCACAATACGTGTCTGTAGAGGCTTGCTAATTAGAATTAACGTCTGTTAATAGTGTCAACACTTTTATTAACAGATAGGTATACTGACCGTCATCAATGACAATGCTAGTTAAAGGCTTGATAAGTAGAGTTGCCACCATTAAACAGACGGTTGACTCTTATGTTTATGAATACATGAAACGTCATCTGCTCTCCTAAATGCCTGGGCCTATACTTTCAAAAAAAGTTAAGAGATCGTAAATTCATCAGCCAATCATTGACGGCCTTTCAAGCAAAAACCACCAATCATAGACAAGAAAATAGAGCGTAAGTACCTACGTTCACTTAACGAATTTTTAAAGTATATGCCCTGACCGCAATCAACACTAGTAAGAACCTCCTTGCCGACTTTATAGTCTCCTGAGAGTAGGGCAAGAGTTGGCAGAATAGGGACCAGGCGCTTGTAGGTGTCTGATTTGGGACCGAAATGTAGACCAAAAAGCGGACATAGAGAAGCTGATTTACGTTCGGTCCGAGTCCTAGGCGGTTCCTACTTCAGGGTCGCCACCAACTCATGTCGAAAAGGTTAAATTATAGTTTATATATCTTCTATGGCAACTAATCA